ACTTCTTGGCAACCGCGGCGAAGGAAACTGATACCGAAGCACAATTTTTTTTAATGCCGACTTACACAAAGGAATTTTTGCGGTTTTGTGAAAACGGGACCGAGAAAAACATGCCAACATAAAGTGTATACAAAATGACGATTTCTAAGTGCCGACTGAGGAATGAAATTTTCAATGGAAATGCAATACAGACGATCGGGACTTTTGTCAAACGACCGACTTGGATGATATGACAAGTTACGCGATGCTGACTTAGTCGGAGTTTACTGTATTCACATAATAAAAAATGCAAAAAGATTTTAATTCATGCATATTTGAAAATTCACATTCATGCCAAACACTGTTTCCTAACCTTGGGAAATGACCCAGTTTTGATATAAAACATAAGGAGTGTGCAACACACAGTGATTTCAAGTGAATGTACATGTATGCACTGTACAAGCATACAAGACCAGACTTCAGCATTAGGTGTGCATTGATTTGAAAAAAGCTTGACACATTGGAAATTTGGCACCGATGTTTATTCTCTCATTTGATTGGCAATCCAAGACTTAATGTGCCTAGATTGATTTTCAGCCATTTTAAAGGTCTTTTGACTGTAACTTCCTGTATGATGGTGTCGCCTGCCAATATAAAAAAATGCAATCTGTTTTTGTCAGATAAGGGGCTTCAGACTGACCAATAACGGTAACTCCTCCTGGTGGTGGGCCGCAGTGTTTTATTATTAACAGAGTTCAGCCAATCTGGGTAAGCACCCCAGATGAGAAGCGTCTGACGTTATGGTTATTTCTGGGTTCGCCTTGGGGAAGGGAACTCCGAGAGAGAGGTGCTCCTTCACTAACCACCACTGAAGATGAGGGCAGATGAAGTCTGATATGGGGACCTGGAGATTAGTTGAGTCCCATTTGGGCCTGTAGAGCGCTAAGAGGTGTAGTTGTAGCGGGCGCATGTACAGCCTGCAGAGGGGAATCAGGCCCACCATGCTGGCCATCAAGCCCAGGAGACGGAGCCAGGCATGGGCTGGAGCAAACTGCTTGGTAGAAAGGACTTTCACGCAGTTGAGAAGATTGTCGATGCGTTCAGTCATCGGTGAGCTAATGCCTCGTTGAAGGTCGATTGATGCCCCTAGATACGCCGGGAATTGCGTTGGGGCGAGATTCGATTTCTCGCGGTTGATGAAGAAGCCCAGCCGATTTGTGACGTCGCAAGTAAGGCGGGCAGAAACCTCTGCTTCGTTGAACGATCTGCCGACGATCAGCCACAACAAACTCGCCAAAGGCTTGCCACACTTGGCAGAAAAAGGCAAGGTTGTTAGCAGAAAGATTGCCAAACTTGGCATAACAGGTTGGAATTCCTTGGCACACTTGCCATGCAGACAAACCCCACTGGAACCAGTAGGTGCTTGTCCTTATTTTAATTAATTGTCATGTGATTCTATTTATCCTTTACAAATTAAGAAAATCTTACATAAACCACGCCGTTTTTTCCACCGCTTGAACAGGCGGTTGGAATAAGCCCCACCAGAACAAGAGGATGCTTGGCGTAGTGTTTAAGAAAAACAAAATGAAACATTATTAATAACTAACTTTACGTTATAGTCACTGCGAGATAAGTTGCATAAATTGTTTATTTGTTAACTTTGGAAACTACGTGTCACTCCCAGGTAGTTCCTGCTACACGTGCAACGCGCGCCACACTGGGACGACAGCCCGGACACCCGAGCCACCCTTTCTTATACTACCTAAGCAAGCAAACACGTGAACAATGCCACCCATTAGGGCCGCATCCCAGGAAACGATTCTTTTTTTCAAAGGCTGTAATGATGTAGTCTTTTAAGTTGCCTCTAAAATATTCGTTGCCCATGTCAGATAAGTGGACGCCATAGTAACGATACAATGCGAACTCCGACCATCGGAACTGAGGGTGGTGCAACAATGACACTCCCAGTCGACTACCGAGCGAATATGCCCGCCTATTGATCGCGCGGCGCTTCTTTTCCATTTTTGATGGATTAGTAGACCCAAAGTAACAGGCGCGCAGTAAAATATCTGACCAAACCAACTGCGCGCCTCTGGGTAAGTGTCAAGACACTCGCATGAAAAGTGCCAGCCTTTGTCGGAAACAGAAAAAATCGGTCTCGACCAACTCGTCAGTGCCTAAGTAGACGATTAGCATGGCCAGACGAGGCCATCTTGCTGCGAGTTCCGCCATTAATTTTGTTACGTCACCATATTTCGCTCCACCCAGGCCATTCTAGCGGACGTCGTGCCTAGTCCCAAGTATGGTCTCTGCTCGACTTATGATGGAATCCCCAAGTATCCAAACATTCCCTGTGAACAAAGGGGAGAGGAACAAGGAATGTTCCTGTGCCGTTGTTGATTTTATTTATTCTTGATTATGTCATCCAATAGATGGAAAGTTCCCTGTGCTATGCATACAAGACCAGCAACTGTCTCTGTCTACACGTTGGGAAAACGACACGATACCAGCGGAGGAATATAACGCTGAGCGGCCTCCGAACGCCAGCGGCCCATTGTCTTGATCTGCTCAAGGGGAAAACCCAACACGAATGCGGTTGACGCCGCTCCGATGCGAAAGGAGTGGGAGCGAAAGTGGGTGTCTGCGAGCCCTAAAACACAAAGAACTTTTTTCAAAGTGGCATTAAATTGATACTGTGTCAGTGGCTAACCCCCGAAGAGGCAGAAAAACGCGCCGGCTGACGTGGGGCGAATCCGTGAGAAGTTTGTCAGCGCGCGGACCGGGTAGATACTTTCATCAACTGAGCTGAGCGCACCAAGCGAATAACTTGAGGAGGGCCAGTTTGATTAGCTTTCGTGTGCCGAAGGGAAATAAACACTGCTGCATAGTCATCGTCTGCATCCTGAATATGTACGTCAGACACATGGAAGAGTGATTGTTGGATGAGAGACTTGGCAACTGCAGCGAACTCGCTTATGCGCATAAACCCAAAGAATGCGCATAGCATGGTAGCCCGGAAAAGCGCAGCTTCATAGCTTGTGTGACACACCTGCGGGAGTGCGTTAATGATATACGTCAATACCGGTATTAAAGGTCATTGGCCACCGTTCATCGCCGCCCGGTTTATCCCGGTGACAACCTGTCAATAATTTCGCCACCATTAAATCCCGCGTGGGATCCGGCCAACCTTGAAGCTTTTGAAAATAGCCCGCCGCCGATACATAAGTAGCTATAGTTGACGCGGCAAGACGCTCGAGCGAAAGCCATGCTATAAACTGCCGAACATCGTTACTGGAAGCACGTCTAGTTTCATTAGGTCGTTGGCCCATAAATGAACAAAACGCACGCCAACCCGTCTGGTATGTTTTGTGCGTGTTCGCTGTCGAAGTAGCCACCAATAACCGGTGCATCACACCTTCTATTACACCCGGTGGAGGTCCGGGACCGGCGTTATTGCTATGTCTGCCTGTGGGGCCAAGGCCCGGAAGCGATGCACCTGAAAACGTGAGAGGGAATCGGCAATTTCATTGTGTACCCGTGGGATATGCACGGCCTTAAATGTGATATTGAACCGCAGACACTGACACACAAAAGCTCGCACTAAATGCATGATCTGGTCGCAAGCAGATGACTGTTTGTTGATGATGTGCACTACTGCTTCATTGTCTGTGCGGAAAAGCATTTTGCGCTGAGCTAACTGGGAACCCCAACAATGCACTGCAATCACTAGTGGATAAAACTCGCAGTATCCTATCGACGGGGATAGCGCCATAAACTCAGGGGACCAACGCCCATGAAACCATCGACCGCTGAAGTACCCACCAAACCCAATGCTTGCAGCAGCGTCTGTAAATAACTCTAAATCGTCATTGTCGCGCCAGTTCTGATCTCGGAATGGGGAAACCCCGTTGAAGTGCTCACATTATGCGTGTCCAGCCTTGTTACTGTACTGGGTAAAGCCGGCCGAGCCACCTGCCGTGCGCCTGACGTCGCCAACGGCGTCTTTGTGAAGCGCGTATACGCATGTGTTGCGCGACCGGGACCAGTCGGCTGGTGCGCTGGACTGGGTTTGCCTTGAAATGCGGGCCCTAGCCCCAAACCTACTCTGCAATCGGACGCCCCGTGTCCAGAACGACCACAGCGAGTGCAGCTATAGACGTAACACTACGGGGCCCACCGGCAATTTGTTGGGGAGTTGAAGGGGAAACAGACACGTTTATTGTACTGTTGGGTCCAAGCGACTGCCGCTGGGGCTGGCGCAGAAGATTGAGTACCAACGGCTGGAACAGTAACCCACAGCTCCATGTCGATAGTAGCCCAAGAACGAGAAGGGTTTACTTCCATACGCAAACGGAACTGTTCGTCATAATTGCGCCAGCCTAGGCCGAGGAATCGCGCGGCGGCAGTGCAGATAATCTCGGCTTACTTTACTAAATCGAATATGCCGCTGGGGTGACGCACAGCGTAAATGACCATAAACACATGAAAGGCACTGAGCCATTTATCAACGGACTCAGGTTTACGCGGGTGCGTCGTCGCGGGCTTAAAAACTACACGGCCTTGTTCGACAGCTAAGGTCAGCTCAGAACCGTGTCCGGCGGACCTCAACGCTTTAGCAGCGTTGTCACGATATAGCAACGCCATGTCCACATATTTCCCGTTCCAAATCTTCTCTTTGGTTGACCGCGGAACGTGAATATCAAGGGGAGCCCCTTCTCCCATGGCGAGCAGCGGGACAGGTCTATTGCTTCCGAAATCGTTAGGAATAGCGGGCGGGGCTACTAGAGAATTAAGAGAATTGTTGCCCATCGCCCAAGTTGTAAAAGGGGAGTTGCTTAAACCCGTACTTGAGATCTGATGAGCCTGGGCCTGAGTAATTGCCACGTTATTGGTTCCGATATGAGGCTGGCCTGGGCCTAAAGCCGGATTTAGAGCAAGCCGTACAGCTGAGGAATTCTCAGCATTGTCCTGGTGTGTTGTTGAGTCAGGTTGCAGTCCTAATGCAACTGAACTGGACTCACCACCTGAAGAGGTGAATGTTCCGGGCAATCTGCTTCCGGCGGAACCTGCGCTGAGACTCCCGGCCTGTCCGCTCGTCACCGGTATCCTCCGCCATCGATCTACCGACTGACAGTTATTTCCTTGTGGCCTTCTGGCTTCACTAATTATTCCCGTCGAGACAGTTTAGGTGTCTGGGCCCGGAAGAAGTACTACACTCTCTGAACCCTGTGAGGCCTCTGCTGATTGATGTAAGGCCATGCAGCCACTTTGCTGATCCCATTAAGCCAGCTAGTGCAAGACAGTGATGGGTGAGACAGTAGTGCCTTGTTCACCATGGTATAAGCCAGATGACCAGGACTGTTTCAACGACTGAACAACGTGCGTTATGGTGAATAATGCATTTTATCCCAAAGCGATAAAATAAATTATATTCAAAATACACTGAAAATATCCTGTCAGGTTTCACAGAAAACAGTGCCAAAACTTTGGCACCTTTATTTACAATTTCCAAGCCAGAATGTTGCCAAAATTCTGTGTCTGTGCGTGGTATGAATGGGGAAACTACGGCCTGCCAACCTGCACACACCACGTTGTGTTCGCTAGCACAGTTCCTCACAGTGCGGAATCGCTCTACCGTTAATCCCTGAGGGAAATTTGTAGGGGTGTGCATTTGCAGGTATTTTTTGAACCGGGTACCCGTTTCTTGTTAACACCGGGTACCTGGGTACCCAGAAAAGAGATCAATTAATAATAACTTAATAATAACAAATGGCATTGCGCGCGACCCGGTGGTACATAGGAAGCAAGAAGCACATTGTTCTAAACATCCGAGTTAATCTCTCCTACCTTTTTATCAAAGGAAATTGTTACCTTCAGTTTGCCAAATTTTTTGTGGGTATATGAAACAGAAAAACAAATCCTCACAGGAAACGTCAGAAAGGAGGACAGAGCTGCAAACCACCTCAAAGGAAATGTCCCGGATGCTGCATGACCGCGTACATGCGGAACGCACGTGGTGTGAACAAATGGTGAGCGCTGGTCGTGTCACGTGCGGACCTGGTCAGTGCTATGTACGTCACGGATTAAAAGGCTTGAAGTTTTATATACGAAAATACCACCGTAACTCGAACAATGCCCACACCATTATATCCACCTATTTTGAAGTTTCTGATTCAAAAAACCACCACCAAAACGCTTCAAACGGCGTTGAAAGTATCGGAAGTCTATAGAGGGTTCGGAGTCATCGCCAGTGCACTTCTTTTCTCACGAGGACCAGTTGCATGCACGTTGCATAAATCAACATAGCTGCAACTGTAATCCTGGCTTTCAAGACACAGAAACTAACCTGATTGCAACGCGAGCCCAATTGTAGTCCCCTTCAGGCAGTCCAATCGCTGACACTGCATTGGTCATGTGACCACAAAGGAAAGGTCATATGACCACACATAGGGAAGCCCAAGTGAATAAAATAGCAGCGCTTCACCCTGTTAAATGACTAAGCGATACGAAAATTTTGCCACACAAAGGTACCACAATGAAGTGGTTTACTTCAATAAATACCTTTTCAGGATAACTCCATTCCCCTGGAGTTCAAATTGTCGAGATTTTAATGTATAAGTACTTCGACAAGTGACATTTGATTGGCCGACTGTATTATGACTTGCACCTGTCATCATTCCCCTTTTTTCGAATGAAAAAAAATACTTGGATTTGAAATGCTTTTGTACATACAGAAAACATCCTGCTTTTTTGTTCAATTCCTTATCCACAGTTCCGCTGAATCATTGAGTAAATTCATGTTGCTTTAATTTAAAAATATTTTTGAAACGGCATATTTCTTGGAATAAAAAAGTAAACTAGTCCTCTGACTCTTTGGGTTTGTAGAGCACATTTAGTGCTTTGGTTATAAAACGAGGCCGATCAACCGCACAATTTGTGCATAATCACTACTTACTGCACGCAGTGTAGAGTCCCAGTACCGCTGGAATATTACACTGTCCGCTCTCGCTTCGTTGTCAATCCAGTCATGAAGTAATTTTCATTCATATTGTTTTATTTGACAAAAGTACTCTTAACTCAAACAGTAAAGCACTACCAATTCTGCACAAAAGTCATTTAGGCCGACAGGGTTTGAAAGCTACAAATACAGTCATGCGAGTGTCCATCAACAGCGCTTCCCCCTCATAAGACAAAACTCCTTCGGTCTCTTGTTCATATAGGTTTGGAACAGTCATTTTCCTAGTTCCGGATCGTGAAAATTATTCAGTAAGACTGCAGCTAAAAAACCCTCAAATTCGAGTGAAATATGGTCAGAAGTCAACTTTGTGTTTCGGATATACTTCAGTTTTTTTTTTAATTTTTTATACTTGGACTCACAGGATCGATCGATGAAAGTGACGACGACACTTTTCCTAGTTCTGGATCGGTTTAGGATCGAGACAAAAACGCCTTCACAAATAAAAAGTAACCATACGAGAAATCCATTTTCAGCCAGAACCATTGTGAAAAGTTGCTTTTCTAATAAAAGAATTTTTTAATTTAGAGAAGATTAGATGAAAAATAAGAATTCCAATTAAGTAAAAAAAAGTAGAAATTGCGTAAATTATGACTCGACTTTTCAACTGTACAGTGAGCTACCAACGGTAACCGCCCCGCACCGCACAGTTGACGAACCCATTACGTCGCACACATTTCTGCTGCGCCCGTGTAGTTGAGTTCGCAACAACTTTGCGTGGTAACGCCGCGCGATCCGAAAGTAGGGGGAAAAGCTTGCAGTGTTCGATAAATTAACAAAAACGGAAACTCTAAAAAAGTCATTTTGAGTAAGCAGACATTAGATGCAAAGGTTTATATGACTATTATATGACTATTCAATCTAAAGAAATATTTGAAATCACACGTAGTGAGTGACCTGTCGCCCGTGAATTTTAGTGGGTTTTTTTGCTCTTGTGAAATAGGAAAATTCCGGAACTAGGAAAACGACTTGCAGTACAACGGGCGGAGTGGATAACGAAATTAGCTGTCGATCTCCGAATTCAAGTTTCATGTATGACCGCGGGACCGGGTTTTCAGCGGCACGGTGGTTTTCCAGGAAGTCTGCCCTTCAGTAAGAAATTTCACAGACATTTTATGCATGGATATTTGTTCCTAATTTATTTACTTTTTTACAGGTACCCGGCCCGGAAAAATGGAACCGGGTTTTGAAAATGGGCGGGTACCCGGCACAGGCCTAGAAATTTGGGAAGTGGACGTATTAGCAAGAAGACTATACTATTGTTGACCTGTGGGGGCGTGTACCATATTTTCCTTTTTTATGTTTAGATAATAAAACAGTCAAAGTATGCAAACTGGAGTGATTGCTTAACTATAGCTGGTTAACATTTTCCGTTTGAAAATGTGCTCAGAACCTGTTTATGTACCAGTTTAAGGTACGGCTCCTCCAAGGGGATCGCCGTACCAACCCTATTGTTACATAATGGTAAAGGACTAACGGTAATTGCAATAAGAAGATCTGGACATAACTTGGAAACCATCTGGAGTTTTTTCGATCAAATGAAACTTGTAAATAATCAAAATTTACTGAGCATGAGCACACTGTAAACACGTGTTGTAAATTTTAAGGATTTATTCTTTCTATGATCCTGTATTAGTCCACCAGGGCTTTTTTCCCACATGAATGACCCGTTAATTTGACACAAATTTCGCTGTCAAATAGGTAACACTATTTTTTTCGGCAAATAAAGGAAATAAATTAATTACAATCACTACTCGCATGTAATTCTGCAATTACTACATGAAATCATGCTGGCGCGATTAATCCATTAGCTGCAAATCCACGAGTAGTGAAACGAGTAGGAGAAACTAATCACGATTAATCGAGATAATCGCCCAATCGCCACAAATGATTGTAACTTCGTAACAACTGGAGAAACAAAATGTTACGTTATGTCAGATTATGACGACACCTGTATTCTCAATTAAAATGAATTTCATTGGGAGATTTATCCGATATCATAATTTACCTTTCTGTTGCTAGATGAGTTATAAAATAAACAATTTATTTGTTTTGCCAGTGGTATGAAATGTCATATGAAACAGGTCATCAAAAATGTCACACTGAATACCGAAGAAACAGTGAGAAACGATGAGGTTTTTCCCTTGCAATTATTGTGTAATTCAACTTTTTTTAAAAATGAATTTATTGTAATCAACACATATTAATTGACAAATACATATGAAAATTGAAAGGGAAAGTGAAACTGGTCTTGTTTTAAATGGTCATGATAATTGTGATGTCCCTGAAATACACACTGGCCCCCATATTAAAATAAAGACCCACATACACTGTTGCTGTGTACTTTTTACCACTTTTTATAAGCTTTTATGAAGAGGAAAACAACAAATCAAACGTAGATCTGCTGACTGCTATTCTTGGCCACGAAAAAGGGACGCTTTCATTTCAGAAAAAAGTACCTGTCCATCAGGCAATTTGAAGAAATTACTTGTCCCGGACAATCGGACAACCGTTAATATCTAGGCCTGCTTTCAATCAAAAATTGTTATACGGAAGCATTGCACAGTGTATTCATCCACTCTTAGTCCTGGCCGCTACAGTCCAACATGGACACCTGTCAGATATACTGTACAGATATTAATAGAGCACCCTAATTAGAGCATAAAAATGCATAAAAATTTATAGAGTGTTGCAACTGTGGATATTCATGACTTCCAACTGTCCATGATTTAAGGGTATTCTCGTAGTTGTCCACGATTGAAGGACTTCCAAATGCACAAACACCCACCAATATAGGCCTACATTTGCAGAAAATTGAAAAACATACTCAACGCATGGCAACATTTCTGATAGCATGTGCATGTATTTGATATGCCTTGTTTTTTTGCATACATGTACTTACCCTGAAAAAAGTTGACGTAATCCCACGTTGTAAAACAGGTTCATGGTAACATAGAGAAAAGGAGAAATGAAACAATTGGTTAACAATGTACGGCATTTACAGGTACATGTTTGTGTCCATGAGCCAATTCTACATGTATATTTCAAAATCCCAAGGTCTTTCGGGAACATAGCAGGCGTCAGTCAGCACATGGCCATGCTGATAGGACAGACAGTCACGCACACGCACAGCTGGATTGGGTTTTGCCAGTGTACCTCCACGTGATCTACATGTGGCATTTTGGAAAGGCATGCACCTTTTTCTATTGATTATTATTAAGGGCTACCACCGGTATGCCTACCCGAAACTTGTTTGGAAAAAGAAGCCAAAGAAACATCAGTCAAGTATTGAAACCATGTAGGCTTACTGACAGTTCTTCATTGTCTAGGATAAAGAATGCCTGTGCAATGCCCAGGTTTTAAACAATGGACCTCACACTTATGATCTTGAGGTGTGCCTAACTTTGTCCAATTACCAGTTTCGCTTCAGGTTGGAATTTAATGGAATGGCTAGATAGAGTGTTTGCATGGTTGTCAATGTCATCCACTTGGCCTGCCTCCCTTTCATTCCATCATACCCATGTCCTTTCAACTCTAACCATTTTGCCCCATTGCCATGTCTCCCCATTTAGACTTCATCTCTTAGCCATTTTGCCCTTTTCTAGCTCTTTGCCGAGCCGTGATAGATGTTTGAAATCATGATTTATAGCCCTTGGTGGTGGAAAGTACTGGTTATGTTGTTTTTACATGTAGCGACATGTACATGTAATGTTCCACTGAATTAAAGATCATCTCAATGCATGTATGTACATACACAGGAGTCCATCAAAACTACATGTATTCTACAAAACCCTTGAAACTGCACATTTGTGTTTCAGTTAAACATATTTTAATTTTCTGTTAGCAAGTTTTAACCCATTTTGTTGTGGGGGGTATGTGAATTACATTTCCATAATGAGCAAACTATATGACACTGACAATTACTTTTAGTTTACAAAGTAACTGTAGAAGAAAGGTTTAACCCTCAAAGAGCTGGTTGGTTTTCACCCATTGCACAGCCGAAGGGTGGAGGGAGTATTGCCGCTGCCCTATGAATTTGCTTTGTTCCACGCTCTTTTTATTTTTCAATTCCACATGCACATACATGTACATGCACTCTTCATCATATTGGAGTTTTGTCTGTATGGTCGTTTGAAGTTCACAGGAACTCATACATCTGAAGAATGTAGATGTACATTGACAGAATAAAACTACCAGTTTCAAGCATGTACGCACGCACGCATAGTCATTGCATTGGTGGTACCTGTAGTACATGTATGTCAATGCATATACACAACCAAAAGTTGTTGGAAATCACAGTAAAAGCTACCAATAAAAGATAAAAACTACATGTACATGTAAACATGGCAGAAAACCACGAGTTAACGCAAAAAGAAAGCAAATGTTAATGGCTAGGAAAATCAAGAAGTGACAGCTACAAAACAGTGCCCTCATTACTTGCACACTATATACATGCTTTTATAGACCTTATGCCTTTGACGTCATCCATTCTTAGTAACCGTAGGGCACCCTCCCGAAAGGACAAGCAACCGTTCTGATCTGCGGTACGGTCACGGTTCGGTCACTTGCCACTCGGAACTTTGCCTCGTTGACTTTCTTGTAAGGCCACCTTATATTATTTGTGTCTGAAAACACTGAATATGGTAAATTTGTGTCTTCGGTTGCTCTAACCATAGTAAGAGATAAAGGAGTGTCCTTTTTCTGTATTCTGGCTGTGCTTGAACACCAAGGGGAGCACTCGGTAAACCTCTCTAAACTGCGGCGAGACAAGTGGCTGGCAAACATAACACGTGAAGAATGGCAACCGTCAAAATCATCACCCGTGTGTTCGGCCCACTTTGTCAGTGGTAAGTAGGCCTACCATTGACAAAACTAATGCTTATAAATGTCCATTAAGCACGCTTCATCACGATCAAAAAGTTTCAGACGTGTTGGTCAAAGATGCATCACACAGTGCGTGTACACCTAATCTAAAAATTTGCATTTTTCGAAACAAGTGGACTAGGCTTAGTCTTCGGCTTTGATGGTTCCAGCCAGCCATTTTGATGCAGCATTCCAAACAGCATGCCGAGACTCCAAAGGGAACCAGTGAAACCAAAGTCCAAGCCTAATCCTGGGCCTGATTAAATTCAACTACCCTTTGGTCATGGTGGTATGTAGTACCCTGTCTCGCTCACAGGTTTAGGTCATAGGCTAGTGATCCACATCTATGGTAAGGCCTAATACAAGCCTACCCTATGCCAGGGTTCATGATAGTTCACTCCTACCTCTGTGCTCTCAGTAACAACTGTCATGGGGGCTTTTCTCCATTGAAAAAATATCTGGTTAATTCTGGGGCCTTTAACTATTGAAAAAACTATTTGGTTGATGACCGGACATGTTTGTTTTAATTTTCCCATTGGTGAGTTTCCCAATTCATATACATGTACAACCTCATGAACAAATGTACATGTACATCACGCTGCATTTTATAAGGGGCTGTCAATCAGTCTACTATTTTCTTTGCGTGGCAGCAAATCTTACTTCTTTTGTCTTTTTACGGTACTTCTTCCATTAGCACTGAGCTGTTCTTCTACATTCACTGGTGAGATTGTTTCAAAATAGGAAAGTTCAGTTGGCAATTTTACTTTGAATAATGCAATTGAGCTGAACAGTTGAACCAAGAGTAGTTGAGCTCAGCATTGGATGAGATTCCCTGGCTGTCTTTCTTTTTTATTTTTATGATTTTATTGAGGAGTTTATAGACTTTAATGAAAAACTGTTTGACATATCCAGGAAGAAGTTTGACCTGATTCATTTCAGACACTGTTTCATTGTTTTTGTATAATTTCATGTTTAACAGGAAAACCAGCCTATTTACACCAAGTGGAACATTTTGACTGAGCCCCAACCAAGAACATGGGCTACACCAGAGCACCTCAGAACCAGGACATGTCAGCACGCCACAACAGGTTGAAGCAGCGGAAGAGGAAAGCAGATGATGTTGCAGCTGCACCAGCGCTGCTTGAGCTGCAGCAGACAGGCAAAAGAAACACTCATGGATTGGAAGAACCTCCGTTGACACAAGATATGGGAACAGCGACTCAGACCAGCTTGTCATCAAATGACATTACTGCCTTAGAGAAGAGAACTGACCACCTCGAAAGAGATAATATGGCACTTCGATCAGAATTGTCCGACATTAAGGCGCAACGTAAATCCTCAAGCCTTGATGAGAATGACTTCAAAGGGGACAATTCTAAACTCAAGTTCTACACAGGACTCCCTTGTTGGGGAACTTTTCTTGACCTGTTTAATCTTATTGCCTCTACTCTGCCCAGCAGTGGAAAGCTTTCTCAATTCAATAGAGTGTTGCTTTTCCTAATGAAGATGTGATTAAATTTGTTTGATGAAGATTTGGGTTACAGGTTTGGAGTCAGCCAGTCGACTGTTTCAAGGAACTTCCATAGAATCCTTGACATAATGGCTGTTAAGTTGGATAGCATAATTCACTGGCCAGGTAGAGAATCCTTGAGGTTTAGCATGCCATGCTGCTTTCGAAGATTTTTCAAAAAATGTGCTGTGATAATAGATTGTACTGAGATTTTCATTGAGCAGCCACCTGACTTGCTAGCAAGGGCACATGTTTGGAGTAACTATAAACACCACTCTACTGTAAAATTCCTTATAGATATAACTCCATAGGGCTCGATATGTTTTGTAAGTAAGTGTTTGGGGGGACGAGCTAATGACACAGGAATCACACAAAACAGTGGAATTATAAACAAATTAATCCCAGGTGACTTGGTTATTGCTGATAGGGGCTTTTTGTCAGTGAATATTGTGGCATGGCAATGGCCGAAGTCAAAAGTCCTCCATTCACCAGAGGTAAAAAACAGTTAGAGAAGGTTGAGGTAGATTGGAGTCGGGAGCTGTCATGTGTGAGGATACATGTGGAACGTGTAATAGGAATGGTTAAGCAGAAGTATACCATCCTTCAAAACCAGTTACCAATAAAACTAGTTAGTAATGGAGCATCTATGGAAGCTACATGTACTGTGGACAAAATGGTGAAAGTTGTTTGTGCCCTTGTTAATCTCTGCCCAGGGGTAGTTCAAACTGAAAAACTTTCAGAAACACATTAAATTCCTGATTAGAACAGTGTATGTTAAGATAGTTTTTCTAATAATCATGCTTATCAATTCTAAGAAGCGATTAATTTCTGTGCAGCACTAAAATTTGACAGCCTATACAAGTTGTTGCCCTACGATTGCATAAGATTGCAATTAATTGGATGTTTTGAAACCTCATAAAAGTGGTTCTGCGCCCAGAACTTGCCATGATCTGCAACTAAGTTATTTTCAAATGTAAAAACAAAAACTCAACAACCAAGAATAGTGGCTGAAATATCAAGATCATTTATTTCATCTTCCTGAACTGGCATCATCATTTATATACATGTGTACGTTTTGAAGGGTTATTATTAAATTAAATTATTTGTATG